CTTTGTAATGATATCTTTAATTCTCTAATTTTGGTGAATATTTTTGTCATTTTTGGTAAAAAGTGATATTTTCGACTTCTTGTTAAAAACGACAAGTCCAATTGCTTTGATATTACATATATAGATACTATGATATATGGACCACTCTCAAATTTGTTCATTTCAATTCTCTAATTTTGATGAATATTTTTGTAATTTTTGGTAAAAAGTGATATTTTCTCCTTGTTAAAAACCACAATCATTTATGGTCAAAAATAATATTTTTGAATTCTTGTTGAAAACAGCAAGTCCCATTGCATTGATACTATGCATATTGTTCATTTTCTAATGATATCTTCTGTTCTTTAATTGAAATGTGCATTGCTAACAGCGGAGCTATCTCAGCCGAGAGGCTGCTTGTTTAACATGTTTTACAGTATTTCATATTGAACCAGATAATGAATTAAACAAAACATCCCTTCCATAAAATTAAAAGTATTTTTTCCTCGAACTCATAAACAAGAAATGAAACTAACCATTCCTTCAAATCCAACTCTATAAAGATTCTTTGCTCCATTGTCCCAAATAACATAAGCAGCACTACGAGGACTGGAAGCACTCCAATCTTGTACTTCTGTGACTTTCCCCCGGCGCCCATTACCACCATCTTGGTCTTCCCACTGCCAGTCAACACCGCGCACCACACGTGCACTAGGAAAGATACCACGTGCAGTAACTTTTTTAGCCTTTCTTCTGGGTTCAAGCGGCACTCTATAAATAGAACATTAATTTGACGAAAGATTATTTTATTGCCACATTACTGCAAGTGCTATCTGAGAAAAATATTGATAATTATTTTACCTCTGCCAACTGGAGATAACGATGAATAAATTTGTAAAAAGGCATATAACTATGCTGAACTAAAAATACAATGTCAGTGCTTTTATTTTGAACAAATAGAGTAAATATAGTTCAAACACTATGTATGCTTACACTTACCTATCCCCACCAGGGGTATTAATTCGATAGAAACGATGACGTAAATGATGTTTATCACCATGGTAACAAGCTGAGCATAAATCATAGTTAGGACACTCTGCACATTTCCATCGTATTCCAAAGATGGGCTGCATACGACAAGTGTCACACATGGTACCATCATGTTTTATACCTGAGAAACAGACAAAAAACACAAATTTCAATATAATTCTATAATAGTACACACTTTATTATCAAACCAACATTACTGTAGAAGTATTAATTTTTACTGGTATTTAATTTCACTAAATTGATAATTCAAATTCTGAGGATTGAACATCCAGGCATTTCACAGTCTGGAAACCACAACCAATGAAGTCAAAACAACGGTCTAAATCTTTCAGAGAACTGTACTTTGGTTAACTGTTGAGACTCCTGAACAGTATAACAAGATTATTCCTTACATGTTCAACATATATAAATTTGGTTGTTAGAACAGTGCCAAAGTACAGTTTGTGCTGTTTTCTCGATTTCTTTTTTTTCCATCAGCTATTTGACCGGTGTTTCACAGCAGCTCGCACAGAGCCAATAGAAATTAATGGTACAGTGGTGCACGTCCCAACAGTATAGATCGATCTGTGACATAGCTCTGCTGCCAAGAATTTCTGGATTTTAATTTCATAGATTTTCCACGAATTAAGTTCTAGTATAATATCACAAGGATTTTGTAGATTTAATTTTACAACAGATTTAATGAACCTTTATTGCTATGTGCTTAATTACCGGTAATATTGAAACATGCCTGAAATCTTAGAATTATTGTGTTTATCATTCAATATTTGGGATTGACACTACATAATAAGGTAGAATGCATGCTATAACTGTACCACTGATAAATGTTACACATGTATTACACTAGGTACACAATGTATCTGTAGCCTGCCCATCAGGAAGTTGAGTCTGACAGAGTCTTCAAATATCTTTGGGGCAGAGCTACGTCACAAGATGTACCACGTTGCTACTTCTATGGGCTCTGCACGCGCTGCTGAGAAACACAGAACGCCAAGCGAAGAGCCGGTGAAAATTCGAGAAAACAACAGGAACTCAACTTTGAAGTAATCCTGAACAATCAAATTTATACGCGGAGGTAATCTTGTTACACTGTTCAGGAGTCTCAACAACCATCCCAAATTACAGTTTTCTGAGAGTGTTCGGCCTTTGTTTTCACTGTGATGGTTGCCATGCGGTGAAAATGCCTGGATGTCCACCCTGAGAATAAAGTGCACCCACTACTAGCATTTTGTGCATACTGTAAATGATCAAGGTTTCACAATTTAATGCTTTTGTGACTTCTTTCCTTTGTCACACGTTTACCAATTTCAACAGGATGTCAATTTACTCGGCTATCATTTAGTAACTGTCATTTACGAACCACCGACTCATTGTATCATTTTTTTATTGTTTCTCTATTTCATTGATCGCTTTGTTTAGTGTTTAGAATGTTAAAAACATTGTCTCTTTTAATTTTAAATTGGAATCTTTTTGTTTACTTAGACGATCGATGGAATACATCAGTGTATGAACATACCCAGTAACTGGACAAAAAAGGAGAAGGCAAACCAGTTGTCAAACTCGATTTCGAAAAACTTGAAAAATATCAACATAGACAGAGATAGAGATCGTAAAGAGTTCTGTGGCAATAGTTGTCGTCACTTCAATCAACTTCATCAACCACCATACAAGTGACTGTGATTGTGCAGACCAGCAAGTTCCCCTACATATGTCACCAGGGATATTTGTGTATGCAAATGAGAAGCTAATGAGGAGCCTTGTTTTAAAATGCATAAAAACGTTAACAAGACACTTCGCAATAGGCATTTTTCGCAGTCAGTAATAATTAGTAAAAACTATTTTATAAACTGGCTTAGGAATTTCAACCACCAATTAGACAATGTCACAGCATTTCGGCTACTTTTTAAACAAATCAAAACTCGCAATAATTTTGTTTACCTTACATTTGTAAGTTTTGATAATTTTAATGGGTATACATATTCTAATGCATACATATACTAATACACTCACAAAAATACACAAAAAAATAACATATAACCTTGACAAAAAAGCATTATTTTTCCTTGACTTAATATTAATAATGCATTTTTTTCAATCTGTGTAACTTCATGTGGAAATCCTAATGAAATTTAAAGTTCAGTACAGTTCAAGTTCAGAGCCGCAGAACCAAAACAATCTGTCAGCCGTCTTAGTCCACAACAGCGATATGATTTTACACATCAAAATTGAGAATTGCAAGTGTAGACATATTCCATATTTGTAGAAATGAACACTCAATACAGCTATCCTGGCCAGCAATCAAATCTTCAATCTTCATGAGTAATGTAACTAGTATTTTGGCATCTATTTGCTTCTATTCCCACTATCCTAAAATGCTCAAGTGAATGTTGTCAAATTCGCGAGAGTGCGTATTTTTGTATAGTGGCATAAACATTGCTACAATCAAAGACGCACTGAACAGAAGTCTATTCTGGGCTAGTACCATTGTCAATTTTTTGAGAGTAGGGGACAATTTATACAGGGGACGCTCCAGTAAGAAATTGTTAAAATTGCCTGATTGGCATATTAAAATCCTGTATTGAAATAGAACATATTTAATATACAGTAAAAACAATGTTGTTATATTTCTAGACTTACAACGAACTCTAACCAAAAGAAACGGTCTGATCCAAACAACCTGCGTCCTTAAAAATAGAGTCTTATTGCCTTTTTGTTTCCGAGCGAAAATACGTCAATGCCAGAAACGACTGATTTTCTCCAAATCTTCTATAATAATTATATCATTAATTTAGTCCAGCGTTAGATAAATTGATGATGTAAATCCCTCAGACGACGAAAAATCAGCGATAATAGCCATGGGGGTGAGGGACTGAATTTCAAAAACATATTTCATATATAGGTTATATAATAATTTAATAAGATTGAGTTTGAAACCAATTTTTATTACTTCAAAATATATTTTGTACTTAATAACAAAAAATAATAGGTAATATTGATGTACTGATAAATGATTTGGGGTGAGAAAGTAACAGGCATTTCACAGGCACTTTAAGGACCCATTTTAATACTGCAATGAAATAGAAGATTTTTATAATATTTATAAATTTAAAAAGTTTCTATTTGCCAAATGCAATATCATTGAATTATTTTTTTTCAAATTACTAGCTGGCTGTAATGACACAACTGGCAGATCTCTAAAAATTGGAGGTTATAAATATGTAAACAGTTGTGTGAGCCTCTATAATATACACAGTTCTGACAACAATACTGTTTTACTATTGAAGCATATGGGAAACCAGTCAGCAACTTAGTTAAGCAAATAACACCGAACAAACGGCAAGGTAAAGACTATGTCTAATTATAGTAAATACGTACTGCGTGCGTGACTCGAACCGGCGCTCGCGTACGGCACCTAATCGCCTAGCTTCACGCCACTACACGTCTTCCTCTCGGCCACCGGGCATCCCCAAAAAAGGATGCTTAATAACCGAGCTTATTACGTGCAGAGAACGTGAAACCCGT